TTCTACTAACATAAAATAATTTCTATTTAATCATGTTTACACATGGTGAACTCAATATTGTGCAGGTCGTAGAAACACCACATTTAGTTGAAATAATGGTGTAGTTAGAGTTAATTGAGGCCCTTCCCCCAACAATTGTTTAACCCTGACAGGTTGATGAGATGGAATTTATTGTTTAAATTTAATTAAAATGTTACTGTTATTCTTGAGAACAAATTCACTTTACATAGTTTTGAAAATAAAATCCATAATAAATTTTCCTCCTTTTATTTCCTTCTTCTCCCAGTGCATATAAGTGTGCATTTATGCACATGTGCACACATGCAAAACATTGGTTAACATATCTGATTGCAAGTTTTTCTATATCCCTTTTCCTTTTCTTTTTGCAGTGTAGTTAAACTGATACATTTACGTTATGTCACCTTCCTCTAGCTTTTTTTTTCAGTGTGTTTAATCAAGCTTCGTGTTTGAGCTAATAATATGCTGCTTTTTCTCAGTAGCAAAGTGTATTGAATAGCTTCTTCAGTACTCAGTTTTTATTGTAGAAAATTATAAAAGTTAGGAAAGATAAAAGAATAGTTAAGCATATGTATGCTCTTTAGCTAAATTCATTGTTAACAACTTAAAATTTTGTAACATTGTTCTCTCCCTCTTTCCCTTTCCCCTCGCCTTCCTTCCCATCTAATACACTATAAACCTTTCCTTTTTGCTAAGCCATTTTAAAAGTGTGCTGTAGACTTAACATCCTTATACATCAGTATATCTCCTGAAAACAAGACATTCTGCTGCATAACCTCGAATATGTCATTCCATCCCAGCAGTTTGGCATTGATACAGATAGTAATCTCATATAATCACCGACTGTAATAAAATTTGTCCATCTATACCCCAAATGCAACCCCCACCCCCCGCCGTGGGATCTTAACTCAGATAATGCATTACATTTAGTTGTATGTTTCTGTATCTTTTAATCTAGAGCAGGGCTTTGCAGACTTTTTTCTAAAGGTCAAATAGTAAATATTTTAGGCTTTGGGAATCAACTCCACTTTACAGCTACTCCAACTCTGTCATTGTAACTAGTAGGTAGCCATAGACATATAAACAAATGAATGTAGCTACACTGCAGTAAAACTTTGTATAAAAACCTGCAGGCCATAGGTTGAAGACTCCTCATCTAGGATAGCTTTTGTTGGGAGTAAGGGGGTTGGGGGGGATCTTTAATGACACTATTTAATGACTATTTGAAGAATCAGGCCAATTTTGGGGGCAGAATGGTCTCAGTCTAGATTTTTTAAAAGTTTCCTCATTAGTTTTTTAAAATTAAATTTCTAGATTGCTAATTCCTTGGTATTCTCTTTCAGACATCAGGGCTTTTACCTATGTACTCTTGCATATTAATGCTTTTAAATTTACAGGAGTGAGTAAAGGATGCAAGAGGACTTGGAAAGGCAGTGAAAATAACTTACAGATTTGAAGAGTATTTATACTTTAGCAAAATGTAATTCCTTAATATGAATGCTGAGGTTGTCTTTATGTTGAAGACATGAAACAAAATTAGCAATTCTTTACCACAGATAAGCTTACTGTTCTTAGCATTGGATTCAGCTTTATAAATAGATAATAAAGAATTTTGATAGATTTGATACAAACTTGTCCATGTGGGGAAGCTATATAACTATACTTGCATCCATGCAAAACTGTACACATTTTTTTTTGTCATTCTGTTCTTTTCTTGGTTCAGTAAATAGCAGAAGTGAAAGTAGCATGTTTAACTGGAGTTAAAGAGTTTCAGAATTTTTAGTGCTTGAATTTCCTTTAAAGAGCTCTGTGAACATCTATGGTGATTGGGTGCTATCTTACCATCCTTTATTGATTTTGACCAAGACAAGGTTTTCTTCATATTGTGCCTTTATCACAGTTTCATTCTAGTTTGACCCTTTATACCTTGTAAAACAAGTCTGTTTCCTTTTTCACTTAGTAGCATGTTAAATAAAGAATGAAATAATATTTTATTGGAGGTTTCTGTTTGTTGGCTAAATAGTCTCAGAGTCTTTAACCATTCTTCACATCACATTGTGGAATAAATTGGCTGACATGATCTTGGCAAGTTATTTAATCTGTACCTTGGTTTACTTATCTGTGAAATAAGGATAGTGGTACCTATCTTATAAGTTTGTTGTGAGAATTGTATTATTAGATGATATAATACATATAAGACACATTCGGTACATGTTGGACACTATTGTTATCTCTTGTTACACTGTTTCTCATCTGTCTTGTCTGATTATGAACCTGTTTGTCTCTCAAAGCAGAGCTGAATACAGTAGCAGGTGTTTTCCCATTAGCTCAGAAAGAGTGTAGTGGTCACATCCCCCATTAATTTGAACTAAAGTTGGAGTTTTCATTTTAATTCATTGTAGAGAATTTCAAACATACAAAAAACTAGGCAGACTAGTATGACAGACACTCACATATCCATCCTCCGCCCCAATAACGTGGCCAAACCTGTCCCATTCTTTCTTTACTCCCTCTCTGGTGGAATTGGAGTGCCTCTGTTAAACCTAAGCTCCATCCCTGATTGACTTTGATAGTTACTAAAGCTTTTAAGAATAGTGCCTTATTCTCTTAGTAAATAATTGTTAAATTAATGAAGAAATGAATCTTGCCTCAATTAATGCCTAGATCAGATTTCAGTAGTTTGCTTTTGGAGGTGAAGTGAGTGGGTGGGTAGGACTGAAAATAGATTTGTCTGTATCATACTATTTTTTAGATATGGCCCCAGTATTTTATTCTTTCTATTACTGTTTAAGGATATGTATGGTTATTTTACTGGTAATTTAGGAAATTATTCAAATTAGCTTGTCTTGGAGACCTAAATTCAACACTTTCTTACAGTCTTTTCACGTATTCTAGACTTTTAAGTCTTCACCAGTGTTTATCCTAGGCTTTTGAATTTGATAATCATTTTGTCTTGATTAAAGAGAAGCAAAATGGGGGGTGAAGAGTTACACTTTCTTTGTCATTTCTGTTGGAATTATTTTTTAAAGTCAGCATCGTTGTGGAATAATTTACATACAGTAGACATTGTTAGAATCTGTTGGCTTCAAACACAGGCCTTTCTTCCCGAAGTCAGTAACTGACTAGCGTTCTTTTTTAAGCCTCTGCTTGTTTTCTCCTATAACTATTCTTACTTGTGTGTCATTAATTATAACTTGTTTCCAGCAGTTTGCTGAAAGTTTAACAGACCCATAATCATTTTTATATTGATATACAGAAGTGTGTATTTCCTAATTAGAACAGGGGTCTGTCAAATAGAGACACCATGATATGTTTTTGGTGGCTCAGCTAAGTAGGGTACGAGTTCTGGAGGTGAAGTAAAGCGGTTAAGAGTATTGTATTGCAGATAGGATAGGTTCTAGTACTCGGCTCACTGTTACCACCCTGAGGTTGAGTCTGGGCCAGCCTGCCCGTTAGAAACCACCAGCACAGTTTGCACAGGGTTTGCACACTCCATACACCTCGACACAAGCAGGCTTGTGACAGTGAGTTTAGAATTAACCTCTCTGTCTTATCTAGGAGTGATTTAGTAGCTCTTGCGTTCCAGTTCAGTTCTAACTTTTAAATGAAGTATCTCAAGCTTGAGAGGAGTCTTACCCTTCAGTGTGAGCAGTTTTTACTTTAATTATTAAACATTTCATCAGGAATTAGTTAGCAAGGGACTTGAGAACAAGAATAAAGTATGTTTTAGGCAGGAGGCTGAGGAAGGAAGTGTTTTGATAGAGAATGCCATGTTGCAGTTATGCCATGGCTGCGAACCCCAAAATTACATTGTTTTACCTTTGAAAATTTTCTTTGTTTGCTAACTTTTGGACTTAAAAGTTTCAGTATACTTTTTGATTGCATGGAAGAGCTGTTGATTGAATATTGAACATCTGTTCATTCAAAGAATATTTATTGAGCATCTATATGCCGGAAAGTGCGCTGCACACTGGATAAACAAAACAGTGAACTTTTCAGATATGTTTGCCATTACGGAGTTTACAGTCTAGTGGAAAACAGAATGAAATTTTTTTGAAGCCATAAGGAAAAAATTGTGCTTCACTAATACTTTAAATACCTCGTGACTTATTTTGAAGTGAACATGGAGCAACTTATTCTTGATTATTTTTGCAAAATGTATTTGAGCATTCAGGGCTATTGGGCTAATTGTTTACATATGTGTATTGATATGTGCAATTAGACATTAGTCAGAGAGACAGGACAATTTGAACGAGAGAGAGAGAGGGATTATGAACTAATTAATATACATGTACCATAGTGAAGTTTCAGAATAGTGACAGGGAGTAGATTTGTATGGGTAAAATTATATATTAGCTGTGCCAAATAGACCATTATAGGCAGGGGAGTAAAAAATATCTTTAAGTCTTTTCTTCTGTAAAAGTATTTAATGCTTAAGAATTAACAAGAAAGTGTACTTTCTCTAGAATGGCAGTATAACACAATGAGCAAATGAGAATCATGACAACTAAGACCATGTCTGAATTATGTGACAGTGTCTTGTAACTCTGGTCAAGAAAGTGTACCTCAGATTTCTTATTCCAACAGAGTACCACAGAGGGGCTGAATTTGGGGATCCTCCCTGGTGCGAAAAATATTACGATTTTTAAAAAAAATTTAGCTGTTTCTTAATAACTTTGGTTGTTGGAAAGTCCAGATGCATTCTTATTTTCTGTACTTGTTCAGGTTTGAGAATTAAAAACTTAAGACAGGGGAATAAGGCTTTGCTTTCTCTAACTGATATTTTCTGACTAGGTACTTCATAACTCAGGAAGACCTCATTTATTCCCAGTAATATGTTTTACTAAACTCTTTCAGGTAACTTTACAAAGACTGTGTGACTTAATAGTAGATCATGGCTTGAACTCAGTTTTTTTTTATTGTTGCTACTAGAAAATTTTAGTGAGGTGTTTTTTGGTTTTTGTTTTTGTTTGTCTCTGTAGTTATCAGAGACTGTTACAGACGATTGCTGTACTCGAGGCTCAGCGTTCTCAAGCAGTCCAGGACCTGGAAAGCTTGGGCAGACACCAGAGAGAAGCACTAAAAAATCCCATTGGATTTGTGGAAAAACTCCAGAAGAAGGTATATGTTGAGCTTTTTTTTTTTTTTTTAAGATTTATTGAGATATATTTTGGTATTATTCTGGTTCGTTCTTTTTATGTAAGTATATACTTAAAAGTTTTTTTCCCTTCTGTAATTAGCCATATTACTGAAGGCAGGATCCTGCCTTCCTTCACCCCCAGCTAACGCAGTAAACTATACCCCAGTGAACACAGCTAGGAGTCCTAAGTGGATGTTCGTAGAGGAACTTGACGTCCTGTTCCTAGCCATTTTTATGATCTTTTTCTGTTACTTTTTTCCTTCCCTGTCTTAAGAATGTTCTCCCTCTTCTGCTTTCAGGACTTTAAGATTAGTGGAGCTAAAAGAAAAATTTATTAACTGCTTTAGTTTAGCACTACTTTTGTATATAGAAAATGATAGTGATACAGCCAAAAACTCTGTTTTAAATATCTTTAAGGTTATAGTTGCCAAGTCCATGAGAATGAGGTACAGACTTTGCTTAATTTTGAAATGTCCTTTTAAGTGTAAAAATTCCTTAGAATTTTTTTTTCCTTAAAATAGAACTTTCAAATTCAGCAGTTAACCATTTGAAAGCGATTCTCAAGTTTTTATAACTTTCTTAATACAGAAACATGGAGATAATCTAGATGTGCATTTATGGTGTAGTATATCTCTTGAATTAGGGACCCGCTAATTCAGTAAAGTTGAGAGGTATAATGTTAATCAGCATTGTATGAAAAGATTAAAACTGAAAAACTATGTGAAAGAATCCCCCTTTTCACCTTAAAAAAACAAAAATTTAGCCTGTATAGTGTGACAACTTAAGTATAGTTATTAGTTACTGGTTTTTAACGAGTCAGAAAAGTGGTTTGTCTAGTGTTGAGGGAACAGCCCTCGGGGCTTCATTTTATTCAGATGTATTAATTTATTATTTGGATTTTTCCAGTTACATTATTTACTTGACAGGCATTCCTTTCACTCCATTCCTTCGGAACACTGAATGTCATAATGGATGTAGAATCCATGTACTGATTTGTTGAAACTTCTCAAGTCGGGAGGACCTCTTGTGCGCTCTGTTGCAGTGGGCCCACCCACTTAGGTGTTTATTGATTCGGCATTGCTGTTATTAAACAATTTGCTAGTGCAAAAAGATGCAGTACTTTTACAGTGTTTACTTACAATGGATTCAGCTAAAACAGATGGTATTTTAACCTTAATCTCATTTTATTCTTGTTCTTGGGTGGGCACAAAATTGCAATTATGCAAATTTACTTGATATGCACGCAGTTGGTTATTTGATTGTTCTCCCCCCCTTTTTTTCTTTTAATATTTTTTGAAGAGTGATTTATTTATTTAGTTTTTTGGGGGGAGGGTAGGTAATTAGGTTTATTTATTTATTTGTTTTTAGAGAGGGTGCTGGGGATTGAACCCAGGACCTTGTGCATGGTAAGCATGTACTCTACCACTTGAGCTGTTCCCTCCCCCCCATTCTCCCTTTCTGTGTTTGATTTAGAACTGAATTTCTTTTCACTTTATCTCAGAAACAGAGATGTGATATCGACCATCTTAAGAATTTTTTCGAAAATGTGCAGATGAATATTAAATCCCAAATACTTTGGTAATCATGAAAGGCATGCTCCTTGGAAACAAAATTTTCTGCTGGATTTAATTTAGAAGTTTGATTCTTCTGTTTTTCTTTGTTTGCCCATGTATTCTTAATTTGCCTATTTTCTTTAGGTTTACTGTATTAAAGTTGTTGACATGTGATCTCTTTGTTTTAGTGGACATCTAAAAACTCCTAACTGAAATTAAGGAAACTTAGATTATATATCGGTATACAGAATACAGGGAACTTGAAAGGCTTATTAGCTTTCTTTGATATTACCATCATTATTGTAAAAGACATTCTCCTCTAATTTTTCAAAAGTTGAACCTTAGACTGATATGTAGTATTATGATGATGGAGACAATGTAATACCTCACAAGCAAAATAAAAGTTAAAAATTCTCTGTCACAAAGTGAGTTTTGCTTTCCAATTTCATAATTTATGACCTGATTTTCTTAGCATTTTATTATGAGAAATGTTAAACACACAAAAAAGTTGATAGTTAACACATACATATATACTCCCTAGATTCTACGATTAATGTTTTACTGTATTACTTCATTGTATGCCTGTCAATCCTTCTATCATTCCGTTCATTGAATTAAACTTAGTTTGTCACCTTTTTTTTTTTTTTTTTTCCCCAGGCTGATATAGGGCTTCCATATCCACAGAGAGTTGTTCAGTTGCCCGAGATTGTATGGGACCAATATACCAATAGCCTTGGGAACTTTGAAAGAGAATTTAAAAATCGTAAAAGACATACTAGGAGAGTTAAGTTAGTTTTTGATAAAGGTAAGAAATTGCATCATAAGACTTTAAGTAGAGAAATACCCGGCAAAGTCTTGCTTTAATAATCCTATACATGGTCTTTTTTTTAGTAGGTTTACCTGCTAGACCAAAAAGTCCTTTAGATCCTAGAAAGGATGGAGAGTCCCTTTCATACTCTGTGTTGCCTTTGAGTGATGGTCCAGAAGGCTCAAGTAGCCGCCCTCAGGTAAGCAGTAATAAAGTATTGGAATAAGAAAATTTGAATTGTAGACAACCTATTTTAACATTTTACTGGTTTGTATTCTTAAAATTCAAAGTCTTTCACTGTAGATATAGTGGAGACATGAACTTTGAAGTTGAGAAAAACCTGGGTTGAAATCCCAGTACCGCTTACTAGCTGTGGAACTATTAAGCAGCTTGTATTGCTTACTATGTATAAGCTTAATATTAAGTTGCAGCTTATGTATTAAGTCTCCAAACCGCAGTTTCCTCTTACATAAAATGTGATTAATGTTACTCTTACGCTGTAGCGTTGCTCAGGGATTATAATAAGCAGTGTATGTCACATACCTAGTGCCGTGCCTGACACATAGTACAGTATTCAGTCTAAGAGTAAGAGCTTTTTGTGTGTAGTGGAATGGAACCGGGATTTGAGTCCTGACCTTGCTGCTGTTAGTTAGATGAACCTTGATAAATATGCGGTTCAGGATGAAAAGTAACCTTTCCTTTTCTTTAAAATGAAGTTGCTGTCATCTGTATATTACAAGATTGCTGGGAGTATAAAACCAAATGAAATAAAAAAATGTGAAAAAAAAGTTTGTAAACAGTAAATTATGTACACGTTAAGCAAATTTACTGACATATTTTGAAATTAACAAAAAAATCCACAATTTTTGTGTTATTTGGCTATATCAGAGGATAGTCTTTGTTTTTTTCTTTTTGACAAAAACCTTGTTTTATGTGCAGATGATAAGAGGACGCCTGTGTGATGATACCAAACCTGAAACATTTAACCAGTTGTGGACTGTTGAAGAGCAGGTAATCGATATTTCTAAATTATGTAGGTTAAAAAAATAATAAACAGTTGAAAGAGTCAGTTTTATGGGTAAGGTGTGTATTGTTATATGTAATCTCCCTTAACCGTGAATGTAAAATATTTAAACTTACTTTTGTATATGTTTTTGTATACTTCAAGAATTTTGGATTCTGAGACTGTATGGGAATAGTTTTTAAAGAAGAAATCTGGGTTTTGGGAGAGGGATTGAGAAAGGTAGTGAAACAGATGGAATAAAGTTTTTGGAATGCAGCTTTGGGAGACAGAAAAACCTGGGGCCGAGTAAAGCTGTGCCTCAAAGTGAATTCTTGTTTTTGTTTGGTGGAAAGCTGACAAAGCCAAAGTCAGAGTGTTCTCCTACATTTTGGCATATAGCTAGGATTGTTTGTGAGTGAGATTTGAGACACAGTTCTGTCTCATGAGGATTAACCCCACAGCTGTAATGAGCTTACCAGTTTATAAAAAGCTTTAGGGAAGCTTCATTTCACATATCCAGACAATTCTGCATCTTTAGGGCTGTGGGCGAGTTTAGGAGTATTAAAATTAAATATTTGAATGGAGGACCACACAAAGGAGGAAAATGTCTCTTTTAGTAGTCTGTCTAAATCCAAATGAATGTACACAGATTTGTCAAATCCATAGTGGTGAGCCTAAACATAGTCTAGCAAGAGAACATGGTCAGTGGAACTCACTAAGATGTATAAAATATTAATTAATTAGTGTTGGAGATGGAGTGTGCTTCTTTTTAACTGAAGTAAATAGAAAATCTTTATAAGGTCTTTCATAAGTTTATTCTCTAATCTCATTTTCCTTCTGAAGGCTCAAATTCCTTACTAGAAAGTTTTCCTACTATGAGGATTTCTAGTGACCTAACCCCAAAGTTGTGCAAGGAGTATTATAGTTTAAATGAAGGGTGAATGTATTTATTTAGAAACTCAGTATTAAACTTTCTTAAATTTGGTCTTTGGTTTGGCTTAGAAAAAGCTTGAACAATTACTCCTGAAATACCCTCCTGAAGAAGTAGAGTCTCGACGCTGGCAGAAGATAGCAGATGAACTGGGCAACAGGACAGCAAAACAGGTGATTCAGGACATAATCCCATCTTGTTGGCAGGTTTTTGATGGTTTTTTTAATGAAGGATAATGTAACTAAAATTACCAGATCTGCCCTATCATATTTAGCTACAGAGTGCAACAGTAAGTGGAGTTTTTAAAAATAACATTGTATATTTTTATATTAATTTTAGAAATGACTTGATAATTCTGCTTTGGATTGTTACTAAATACTGAAAGTATTGGACTTTGTGTCTCTTGAATGTTTAACGAGTGCACCGGTTGTGTGCTTCTTGGTTGGACTGTGCTAATTGATTTGTGATACTGCCTTAGCCAGTATTATCTGGTTGTCTTTGTAAAAAAAAAAGCACCAGTTTTCTCCATCACATTCCCATAGATATTAATAGATGTGTTTTTATGCTATGAGTACGAGTGTTCACAAGTTGAAAATATGTGTTTAGTTTCGGAATCAAATTTATTTTAGCAGCTTTTTGTCTAGATTTTCAAATATAAGTGTCTTTGGCAATTTAAAATTATTTCTAGATTGATGACAGATTTAAAAATGTAAGTATTCATTAAGATACACATGTATGTCTTAGTTTTTAAAAACAATTCTGGTACTGCATGTCTTGTCATTCATTATGTTAAAAGGCTTGTCATGTTTCTTCCTTAGGTTGCCAGCCGAGTACAGAAGTATTTCATAAAACTAACTAAAGCTGGCATTCCAGTCCCAGGCAGAACACCAAACTTATATATATACTCCAAAAAGGTAAGCAGAAACAGATAAAAGTAAACCTTAGGTCCTGGATTAACTTCCTCAGTCAGAATTGCTGTGGAAAAGCATATGTGTTTATCAGAACAGAGTTGTTTTATTTTTATTATTCAGCTTACTGTAAGCATTTGGTTATGTTGGGCATAACACAAGGTGGGATTCCGTTATTGCTGCTCAGTGACACTGAGTGAGCTTTAATGACGATTGTTCATTATTTTCTTAGAAGTAGGTTAGTTTGTGTGAATTAGTGTTATTCGAAAGACTTTAGACTGAGTGTACGTCAGAAAGGCCTTTGTGATGTTAAAGTTTTTAGGATGTGCGACTCTTTAGTAAACAGATTCAGTTTCTGTTTTATACACATACTGTGTAAATCCAAGAATAGAAATGTCCAGTAAGGTACTTAATCCTCACTGCAGTTGTAGAAGGGTAGGTAGGACCACCTTCACTTCACTGATGATAATAGCTAGCTGTTGTTCTTACTGTTGAATGCTCTGGGCTGGGTACTGTTCTACAACCTTTTTATAGGTGAGAAAACTAGGTACATTGAATAAGTTGTCTAATCACATAGCTAGTAAGTCTGGGAACCATTGATCTTCTGATTCTGATCCCAGCGTTTTCCACTATTCTCTGCTGCACTATGAAAAAGCTACCATCCTCCTCTTAATGTAGAACACTGCATCAAATTGTAGCCAGTTTTTTGCTTTAATTGCAAAAAAATAAAGCATGCAATTGGCCTTCTTTCATTTCCTTAGGAAATCATCCTGATGCATCTCTTCACCCACAATTGCCATTCTTCACATAAAGAGAAGCTAAAAGTGTATCTAACGCAGTTCCCTTCCTTATTGAAGCTATTTTACATATTTTTACATTAAGAATGTTGTATAGATCCATGTTTTGCAAGTTTTGTTTTTATTCTTTTTACTGGGCTTTGGAAGCTTGTTTTAATCTGCCAGTTGTTTTAAGCATTTTGGATTTTTCTTCTTCCCAAATATAGTATTGTATGTGTAGAGTTCATCCTGTAACTTTGGAGTGGTGGAACTCTGATAACCAACATTCAACTTAGCAGCTCTAATTTTCATAATTTCTTAGTTCCCCTAAATGTGTTTTTACACCTTATGTTTCCACCACTAAGACTAGATGATTATAACACATGATAGCAAAAGGAATACTTGGGGGAGGGTATAGCTTAAGTGGTTGAATGCATGCATAGTATGCACAAGGTCCTGACTTCAATCCCCAGGACCTCCTCTAAAAATAAATAAAACTAATTACCTTCCCCCCAAATTTTTTTAAAAATTAAAAAAATTTTTTTAATTGAAAAAAAAATACTAAACTAACCTAAATGTGTTCCCTCCTTTGGGTGTGCTGAATTTTAACTTAACAGACATTTTCAGTGTAGAGATCTAGCCCAGTCACAGACACAACGATTCCTTGCCATGGTTAGAGTTTGAATTTTTTTTTTTTATATAAACTTTTTATTGAGTTACAGTCATTTAACAATGTTAGGTCAAATTCCAGTGTAGAGCACAATTTTTAAGTTACACATGAACATACATACATTCATTGTCACATTCTCTGTAGAATTTGAATTTTGAAACAGATTAAATGATGGTTCTCCACATGACTTAGGTTATCCTTTGTGGCTGTGCTGTCATTGAGGAGAGGCAGTCTGCACAGTCGTTCAAAGTGCGGGCCTTGGTACCAGGCAGCCTAGTTTATGGTCTTGGTTCTACCACAGTCTGGCTGCAACACCTTGAACAAGAAAGTCAGCCTCCCTGTGCCTCCATTTTTTCACCTCTAAATTAGAGGTGATAGTAACTACTTTATGGGATTGTTTTGAGGATTAAGTGACATTGACACCGACAAGCAGTCAGTCAGTATTAGATAACTGTTTTCAGACAGTCATCACACTGGGGAAATTCTCATTTTACGTGATAGTTTTGTGTCTAGCTTCGGCTGACGTCATCCTCCTTGATCATCTGTAAGACAATCATGAGAGGAGCTCAGCATTTGAATGCCAAGAGTGTGGTAAACGTCGGAGGTGCAAATACAAGCTAGATAATGGCATGTGGTCCACTGTACTCCGTGTTAGGTATTCCGCCTACATTTCCTTACGTTGTTTTGTTTTTGTTTTTTAAGGCTAATTGTGCTTTTTAAAAATTCAGATAACATAGGAAAAGCAGCCACATAGGAGTATGCTGAAGGATAAAGGTACAATCCTTCTGATGAGGCAGATTTGCAGGAAGTAACGTTTATATTTGTGTATTTTTGATTCTTTTCATGATTGTCCACTGTCCCAATTACAAATTTGTTTTCTCACTTAGTCTTCAACAAGCAGACGACAGCACCCCCTTAATAAGCATCTCTTTAAACCTTCCACTTTCATGACTTCCCACGAACCACCAGTGTATATGGATGAAGACGATGACCGATCCTGTTTCCACGGCCACATGAACACTGCTGTCGAGGAGGCATCAGTAAGCTCTCTGTTTATACCTACGTGTTAGGCAGAGCAGGCTGCAGAATGGGAGCACCAGGAGTTTCTGATTTTTCCTATTCTTCAGTGAATGTTGCTTTCTTTTCTTTTAATTAACAAGTCAAACTTGTTTTACAATTGGATTTAAAAGTTTTTTTATAGAGAAACTTTGAGCTTATACAAAAATGAACCCATATGCAACCATTATCCAACTTCAGCAGTTATTAATTTGGGGAATCTTGTGTTTATCTGTACTTCCTACCCACCCCAACTCTGTCCAGGATTATTTTGGAGCAAGTCCCAGACATTACACGGTATCATTATCAAGTTTATTCAAAGAAAATTCTTTATATAATCCAATGTACGGTCAGTGCACATTTCCCCAGTCATAAATTGCAATAGATCTTCTCCTTCTCTCCCTTCCTCCCTCTCTGTTTTTCTCTCTCCTTTCTTAGCCTCTTAAATTTTTTTGTTGAAAAACTGGGCCATTTTTCCAGTAGAATAGCATGGTGAGTGTGGATTTTGTTGTTTGCATCTCCTTGGTGTTGCTTTATCTGTTCCTCTGTTCCCTGAATCTCCTGCAAATTGATTCGATTCAGTTTTATTATTTTTTCTGTTAGGATGGGCAGGACTACTTTGATCAGTCTGGTAGTGTCTTTTTTTGACACAGGAGCCATTGACTGTTTCTTAGATCCATTGATTCATCAGATGTTACAAAATAGTGATTTTTGTTCCTCATTTATTTTATAGAATATTCTATAAAGTCCCCCCATATCAACTGTTTGATTAACCTAAGTACATTTAGAAAAGACAACGTAACTGCTTGATTCCTCCCTTTATCTGTTCTTTCTACGTGTGTTTGTGTCTCTGTTTTGCTTTGTTTGTTCGTTTATTTATATATTTTTAAATATTCAACATATGTGTGAAGTCATGGCATTTGTCTTTCTCAGTCTCTCCGTCTGACTCACATCACTTAGCATAATTCCCTCATGGCCCATCCTTGTTGCAAATGGCAAGATTTTATCTTTTTTATGGCTAAGTATGATGGAATTTTTATTTTTAATTGTAGTAAGTGCCCAAACATAAAATTTTAAGTGCCCACTTCAATGGTGTTTAAATACATTTACGTTATTGAGCTACCAGTCTTCAGAATTCTTCACTTGCAGAACTGAAACTCTACGACCAGTAAGCATCATTTCCCCACTCCTCGTTCCAGCCCCTGGCAGCTGCCATTCCACATTCTGTCTTTTCTTGAATACTCTGGAAACCTCATATAGGTAGAATCATTCAGATTTTGTTCTTTTGTGGCTGATTTATATCACTTAGCATAATATGATTGCATGCATATACCTCCCAGGCAAAGTTCATCTTGTAACCTGTCGCAGTCTCCTTCTATTTTAAGGCCAAATAGTATTTCATTGTGTCTGTATGTCACACTTTATGTATCCATTCTTCTGTCGGTGAACACTTGGGTTGCTTCTGCCTTTTTGTCTACTGTGACTAATGCTGCTGTAAACATGGATTTACAAATATCTTTCTGAGGCCCTGCTCTCAGTTCTTTTGGGTATATACCCAGAAGTGGAATTGCTGGATCATGTGGTAATTCTGTGTTTCAGTTTTTGAGCAACCACAGTACTGTTTTCCATAATTCCTACATTTTACATTCTCATCAACAGTATATAAAAGATTCAGTTTCTCTACATGCTTTCCAACACTGTTATTTTCTGTTTTTTTCCCTTTTGATAGTAGCCATCTGACTGAGTGTGAAGTGTTTTAACTTTTCTTAATCTTAGTTGTGTTGACTATAAATTTAATAATATCCTTAGACTTAAAATGCAGATTAAAAAATTTAGCAGAGTTTGTACTCTTTGTATTTGCCTAAAATATTAAACTTAATAAATTTTATTATACAGCATTTTTACAACATTTAATTATTTTAGTCACATCATATTTATTAGTGTAATATTTATGACACTACTTAGATTGGCTTTCTCAGTGGTAACAGTGGGAAGGCGGTAACTGTAAGATGTTTAGATGACAAGAATCTGAAATGGATGAAAGACAGTGGGAGATAAAGTAGTAAAGTGTGAAATTGTGAAGAATCTTTATCTAGTCGAGGACTTTGGACTTGACAGTGTAGACAGTCAGGAAGCCATTTTTAGCAATGGTGGGGATAGAGGAGAAAATGGATGCCATAGAGCACTGACTTGAGAGAGATTTTAGAAAGTATTAAGTCCTGACAATTTGTTGTATTAGATATAAGACTGAAAAATTAAGGATAACACTTACATTTAGGCCTTGGGCTCCTAAGTGTGTAAGGAGTTAGTTAATAGACAAATCTGGGTTCACATCGCTTGACTCTGCAACTAATTAACTATGTGACCTTGGGCAGATGTTTAATTTCTATAAATGTCAGTTTCCTTGGTATAAAATAAACACAGTAGTTAACGATACCTAACATGGAGAGCAGGAAGAATGGGAGGCGCAGGGGTTGTCTGGTCCGGGATTGGGAGCTGGTGGAACGCGAGGTCAATGAGTTGGGGATGCTTTTAGGAGGGTTGTGGAAACTAGTGACCACGGGGTCAGTCATGAGGTAGCAAAGGAAAGAAGTGGATCCTGGGTAGCATAGCGCAGATAAATTGGGAGAATAGGAAGCAGTTAGTGAGTGATTCATCTGTCAACTTCAACTTCATTTATTTGTATAGTTTTTACTGTTCTTTCCTTTACATTCTATTCTAAATTATCATCTTTGTAACTTAAATTCATCCATTTGAGTAAGATAGGAATGTACTGCCTTGATCATTGGGAGTACTGAGCAGAAAGCAGAACAGAGATTGTTTTGCTTGTTGTTAAGGAAATGTCGTATTTACCTGAGGAAGCATAAAAAAACCTGCTAGATTGGAGAAGAGGAGCTTCCTGCAGATCAGGAAGATTATACGGAGTCTTTCAAGTAGCCGTGAACTTGTTCCGATGGGGTTGAGTCTGCATTAGTTTATGACAGAAGTGTGAGCCATGCCTTGTTCTCCTGGTACTTGCATTATGAAGTTGCCTAGTACGGTTCAGTCTTACTGTTGCATTAAGAAGCCCTCAAAAAGTATTAATCCAGTATTAGTATTGCTGATAGCAGAGCTGATTTTCTCTGAGCCCTAAAAGGTGAAGGTACCTTAAGTGTGAAAAATAATCTTGTCAAACAGAAAAATATTCTTTATCGGAATTTCTTATACCTAGTTCATTTTAATTATCAAACTAACATTTTTGTGTTGTGTTTTGCTCTGTTCAATAGGATGAAGAAAGTATTCCTATTATGTATAGGAATTTACCTGAATATAAGGAACTATTACAGTTTAAAAAGTTAAAGAAACAGAAACTTCAGCAAATGCAAGCTGAAAGTGGATTTGTGCAACATGTGGGCTTCAAGGTAATTCTACCTAATTTTTCTATTCATTTAACTTTTGAAAGGGTGATAAGACACTTAAGGTGTTTCAGAGCTTTAAACTCCACAACTTCCAAGCCTACAGGTTAAAGTCAGTAAGTTTAGCTCTTGTCCTGTTCGTTTTTGCAAGGTAGCGTGCCACAGTTACTGATGTCCAGTGGTTTATGATTCAGTAGAGAGAAGACAGTCTTCTGTATACAGAGTATACAGGTACCCTTTGAGGTGAAATATGGGATGAGAAGTTTGTCTTTAGCTCTTCTCCCCCCCCACCTCCCACCCCCAACTTAACTGAAGTATAACTGGCAAATAAAAATTGTATATATTTAAGGTATATAAAAATTTAAGGTATAACTAATTCAGTTTTCTTTTGTTGTTGTTCTTTGTTTTTTCTTGAGGTGAGAGTACTTAGCATCTGCTCTAGTAGCAGATTTCAAGTATGCAGTGCAGTATTAACTGTAATTCCCAAGCTGTACGTTAGATCTTCAGAACTTGGTCATCTTATAACTGAAAGTTTGTACCCTTTGACCAGCATTCCCCCCTCTCTCTGGGCAACCACCATCCTGACTCTCTACTTCTATGAATTTGACTTTTTTAGATTCCATATTTGAGTGTCATCTTATAACATTTGTCTTTGTGTCTGGCTTATTTCATTTAGCATAATGTCCCCTAGGTTCCATCTATTGTTGTCACAAGTAGCAAGATTTCTTTCTGTTTTATGTCTGAATAATATTCCAGTGTGGTGAGTTTTATGTGTGTGTGCGTGTATGTGTATCTCTCTCTCTCTCCCTCTCTCTCTCTCTCTCTCACAGTTTCTTCATCCATTTGTCCATAGAACTATTTATTTCCTTGTTGCTGTTGTTCATGGATCAGAAATTTCGTTCCCCTCTTAGATTCTGTTATCTCTGCTGTTTTTTCAGAAGCTAGTAGAAATACATTTATTCATTCTGCAAACTGTTGAAACGCCCCTTGTGTTCCGGGCGCTTTGCTAGGTGCTAGGGACTCAGCAGTGAACGAGACGGGCTCACCGACTCTGTTTTCATCTCATAAGGAACGTAGAGAAGTTAAGTATGTAAAATGGTCGTGTACGGCTAGTGTTCATACTGGAGAGTAGTAAGAGGCTATTCTTCATTGCCTTGGAAATTTTGCTAAAGAGTTTAAACTCTTTAAAAAAATGTTGGAGAACCACTGACAGATTTTAAGCAGAGAGTAACATGAAATTTGCATTTTGGAAAGATCATTCTAATTTCTTTAACTACCAACCCTTAGGAAGAAGGCAGTGGGTTTTAGGGTGGATAACTCTTAATCTCTGACTCCTTTATTGTTATATTTTTTTAAATAATAACTTACTGATATATTTTTTTTAAATGTGATTTGAGAAAAATTAAGTGAAGGAGGGAAAAGATCACTCTGGCCTTAGTATGGAAAGTGGATAGGAAGAAAGCAAGGCTGGAAGCAGGGAGACTGGCTAGAGACTTTTTTTGGTTAATTTAGATAAAAGATAATAACCTCCTAAACTTGACTGGTGGCTGTGGAAATAGAGATTGACAGGTTTGAGAAGCCCTTAGGCATGAGAATTGGCTGTACTGAATGAGATTGCAGGAAGTAAAATTGAGACCATGAACTACAGATTTGCTGGTGGTGGTATACATAAAAATACTGATGTGTGCTGTGACCTGATAAACTGAAATTTAAACGAAATTCTTATACCTCTGATCCTCTGGAGTGGCCATTAGCCAGACTATATTAAACGATTTTTTTCTCTTGATCGTCTCTGCTTCTCCATTAAAGAGTTTCCTAGTTGACAGCTCTGTCTTTTCAAGAGGAAACTGTCCACGTCTCATAATTTTGTTGCAAGACCCAGCTGTGGCTTGTTTGCCAGTCTGTCAGCCACTCTAGTTGGCCTAATGATCAAAGAAACTAGAAATGAGAATTACTTTGATTTCCAAGATTACACAGACACAGAGGGCTACCACAATGCCACAGCACCGAGAAAGAGCTAAATCTGCCTTTTCTTCATGGTGGGCATTGGTTGTTAGGAACCTTTAAGGCTTTGGAGAGTAATTCAGTAAGGTGAAAGTTCAGAAAAGATTTTATATTCACTTGGGTGTGTGTTAGCTGTGATAGCCTGTTTTAAATAGTTCTGTAACGTATTTCAGTAGTTCTAACTATGGTATTAAGTCAGTGGTTCTCAGTCACAGTCATTGTACACTGGTGCGAGGTGCCTTTCAAGTAAATAGCTACTGATAATCAAGTGCTCAAGTTTGAAAATTGTTTACTTAAGATTCAAAAAAAAAGCATATTGAATGTTATGCATTATGATATTTCTCTTGCCCCTCTGTATTGTAGCTCAATCTTGAATGGATAGAATTTCAGCTAGTCTGCTAGAGATCATATCTAACCTACAACCATTTTTGTGTTACACCACTATCTCGTGCCTGGGGAAAGAGGAGAGGGTGTCTCTGGGCACAATATGTGTTGCCCAGCGGGAAATAAACAAGTTTGGTAGCAAAAGAGCGTAACACGTTTTCTCTCTGAACCTTTAATAGTGTGATAGCTGTGGCATAGAACCTATCCAGGGTGTTCGGTGGCACTGCCAGGATTGCCCCCCAGAAATGTCTTTGGATTTCTGTGATTCTTGTTCAGATTGGTAAGTGTTTTCTGCCGTAAGTCTTTTTTTTTCCCTTTAATTTTGATAAGAGCTTTTCAGTCACTAGTGAATTTGATTTCTAAACTTCTTAGAAAATCACCACACTTAGTGGGATTAAACTTTGCTGTTATAGAAAGTTAAGATTTTCCTTAATCATACCATGTCTCAAGTGATTTTCCATTAGAGATTTTGAGGAAGTTTCATAGTATCTAGACCAGAATGCATCCAGTGCCATGTAATGATGTGTTTGTCTTTGTGTTTTCTTTGCAGCCTCCATGAGACAGATATTCACAAGGAAGATCACCAACTAGAACCTGTGTATAGGTCAGAGACGTTCCTAGACAGAGACTACTGTGTGTCCCAGGGCACCAGTTATAATTACCTTGACCCAAACTACTTTCCAGCAAACAGATGACATGGACGAGAACACCATATACTAGTCCTCTTCAACACATAGCAATGGTATCACTGTGAATTATGTGCACAGTTTGGAAAGGTTCTCTGCTTTCCCTGAAACGACACTCACGGCATGACAGCTTCCTGAGTGTTCTCGTCAAGTCCAGCTCCGCACCGTTGTGGCTCTAGATCACTGTTCAGCAGCTGAACATTCCTGGTGAGGAAGGGGTTTCCCTGGTGAGTTTCTCACCGCCACCTCTGAAGCCTTTTAGGTGGCGATCTTAAATGGGTGAGATGGAAACGAGAGCAAGTTCCAAAGGTTTCAGAGAACTTGGTCGTAAATATGCTAACGAGAAGACAAAGTATTTATATTCAAACACTTTAGTAGCTTTCAGTTTTGTGAAAATAGCTTTCAGCACAGAAGCTGACTTCTTTAGACGACGTTTTAACCAATGGTGGTGTTTGCTTCTAGGACATGCACACTTTAAAGGAATTCACTGTCCAGTGGTGGCCACTGGTGGCCTTCAGTAAATTGGAGCTGCTTGACCATATTGATGTCTAATTTCTTTTAACCACAGTGAACTGTCCGTATTACCAACAGCGAAGCACTACAGGAGGCAGCTGTGTGGCATTGCTTCCTTAACCAGCTCATGGTGTGTGAATGTTACAAAGTTGTCACTCAGATATATTTTTTAAATGTGATGTTATATAAGATGATCATGTGATGTGTACAAACTACGGTGAAAGTGCCAGTGGTGGTAACTGTGTAAAGTCTCTAATTCAAAACATTAATTCCTTTAAAATACACAGCCTTCTGCCTCTGTATTTGGAGTTGTCAGTGCAACTCATCGAAGAAAACTGCCTAATATAAAAATCATATATATGGTAATAATTTCCCTCTTTTGTAGTCTGCACAAGATCCATAAAAGATTGTATTTTTATTACTATTTAAACAAGTGATTAAATTTAGTCTGTGCAGTGAGCAAGAGTTCACATGCATTCTTTTATACTGCTGGATTTTGTTGTGCATCATTTAAAACATTTTGTATGTTTCTTCTTATCTGTGTATACAGTATGTTCTTGAATAATGTTCATTTGTCAGGAGAACTGTGAGAAATAAACTATGTGGATACTGTCTGTTTATATTATAGAATGCTTGTTGTGACTTCCTTTGTTTAGATTTTGGATTTTTTTTTCACTATTGTTAAAGCCAAAAAAACATTTTTTTAAAGGGTTTGTTTTACCTGTCTGTCCTTTAAAAAGAGTAAGGACTATATGATGGAAAAGATAATGAACTTTAGAAGCTCTGTAAAAGATGGTAATGTTTTCACTTAGTATGTTTGCTGAAACACTAAATTAAACTAGGTTACAAAAAAAAGAAAAAAGAAAAACCTCCACATACCATGGTTAAAGAAAAAGGCAATTATTAATGTCCGAATGTAAAAACTAAACATAAGTTGAAAATTTTTACTCTCATTCCCACATATTTAATTTAAACAAGGGGTTTTTGAAAAATCACAGTATTCACTGGAAATTATATTGACTAATGGAAAAGACAGTATAAATATTCTAAGAGTGACTAGTATACTGACCCAATTTTTAGAGTCTCCTTTTTTTTCCAACTTTAAATCAAATGAACATTATTTACCAGTTCTCTTCAGTACATTGTAGGGAACTAAAATCACCCTGAATTTTTTAAATTGAGAATAGTGTAATCTTAACTGTTAGAAAAATGAGAA